ACAGCAGTATTTGGTCTTGAAGCATGGAAATAACAAGAACAGGTTGTATGTGTATTCCCCCTTACCGCAGGGATGCTTATCTATAGGACTGGTACTCTACACTCAGAGCATTTAACTCCACTTTAAGCCTCAAGGCAAAGTAATTGCCAAAGGAATGCAAATATGCACATGGCTTTTTGAGAGCATTCAAACCGTTGCTATGCATGGACGAGATATACTTGGGGTGAGGAATAGCTGATTCAGTCTGAATCCAGGGTTCACAGAAGTTGTGCAGGTGAACTCTGAGAAGGCTGCAGTCATGGTCCCAGCCAGACGACTGCAGCATTGCCCTTCCTCTGTTTTGCTGAACATCAGTTCATCCCAAGCTCCCTCAAGACTGTGTTCCTCTTTGAGCACTTTGGACCATGATCTGCTCCCTGGTGCACTGACTTCTTTGTTCCCATGGCAGGAGCAGTGGAATGCAGTGAAACTCCTAGTAGTTGTGTATTTCTCTGTGCTGCCATCACTGCACACCAGCATCGGAACCACTGCTCCAGAGTCGTGGGGGTTGAAAGTTCCTATCTTGATAAACATTGAGTGTTGAAAGAATTTGCAGTAAAACCCCTATAAGCCTGCACCAACTAAAACCTGCCTCAAGTCCTAAGATAATACAGTGTTATCTGAAGTTACATTAAGGGTAATGCACTGCTATGACCCCCACTCACCCTAGCCCCTGACCAAGCCATCTCCAGGTGTAGGTATGTGGCTGATTCCAAGGGAAGTTGGAGGCCCTGTCCTTTATGGGCCAAATCCAAATGTCATGCCTGTGTAGGTAGATGATCCTGCTGCAAGGCCTATGTGATATGTTGCAGCACTTGACAACGGAGTGTGTATGGCCATGCCTGTCCCCTCCACATTGCAGATAGGGACTTGCGTCTTTTTGAAATTACTGCTCTTGAGTTTTTGTTATAATTATGATAATAATTCACTATACTATTTTAGCTTCCATTTCTGCAAGTAACTGGTTATTTTCCAAATAATTAGGCTTTTATTTTGCTCTTTTGAACTTCTGCATGTTATGAGAAGCTAACTTTAAAGCTTCTCCTTTACAGTTTTTCAGTAGCTTTCACTTCTGTTTTGCTTTAGCTGGTCAGTGCCACTGCTGTACTGAGTTAACAGAAAAGGAATTGGACCCAGTCCAATTTCTGATGAGGACTTTGACTTGAACAAGCTTTCATTCTAATATCTGCAGAGAAAAATCTCTTAACAAGTGCTGTAAGGACTGATTTCAGGTTGTCACTAGCATGTGTTGGTAACAGGCGTTTCTCCATTTCCCTTTTCAACTGTTTCAACTGTTAATGGGAAAATTACTTTTTCTGCAGTCAATGGATTCCCACCCTGAGCAGATTGCCTTGCGCCCTAAAGAATTCTTCCGCGCATATGACATTGAAGTCTTGACTGAAATGCAGGTAAAGAGAGTACCATTCATGTGGTGCAGTCTTATCAGTGTGCCTGCAGAATACATTTTGCGAGTGCTAGCTCACAAAGACTTTGCGTTTAGAAAATATAGCAGTTGTCATTGTTCTTGGCATACTGGTTCCCTTTGCAGAAATGCTAAAAAAAAATCTCCCTCAATACCAATGTTCTTTTATGCTCAGGCGCTTAGGTTGCCTATGTTTATTCAAAACTACAAATACAATCACACCTGTGGCAGGAAGAACATCCTATGCAAACTCCATTGTGATGGTGATTTCTTGCCTTCCATTTGTTGAGCATTCTCATGTGGATTTGGATTGACCAGCTGGCCTCTTATCCAGATATTCTGTCTGGAAGCAGTGCAAGCAGTGTTTGTTTAAACATCTCTCCCCATTATTTGCTTTATACTGGGAGATCTTCAAGGATTTGTGAAATGGCAAGTAAGAAATTAAAGGTGTGGATTGGCTGAAATGTGGACAGGAACCAAGGAGACTAAAACCTTCGAAACAAATAAATTACTTCAGACTTAAAAAATTAAAAGCATTTTTGTGGAAGGAACAGAGCAGTGGAGGAAGAGACCTCTGTAGAAAAAGAGAGTGGAAGTTAGTGTGATAGTCTGTGTAGGCCAGCAGAGTGTCATCGTTTCCACAGAGAGCTGTCTGTTAGAGAAACTGGCTTATCTGAGGTGAAATAGAAGAGAGCTTCACCAAGATAAAAGGTTATTCATACAAAAGGGGTCCCAAGACTGGAGTGTGCGAGGTGGCTGCAGAAATACAGCTGCTTGCAGAAGCCAGACTTAGGCATGAAATCCCAGAGAGTGCTATGAGGAATACTCAAACCTGCTGCTAGTCTGGCAGACCAAGAGATTTGGGGTGTTTTCTAGTGAAAGAAAGACACAACAAATATAGCATAAGTTATTTATAAACCGTGACAAAACCACCAAATGGACATAAAGCTGAAGAAGAGGATAAACTCAGAAATGCTATCATCTGTGGAGGGGACCAACAGGGAGAGACAGGAGCAGACAGTTACAGTGCTCCAGAACAAATGGCATGTGACCACTCTGTGCAGGACATGTAACCAGACCCAGTCCTGAACCCCTTGAACCCTGAGGACAGGATCCCTTTAGGAGGTGAATTCAGAGCTTGTCCCAAAGTCTTTGATGATAAAAGACTGTACTTGGCTGACATACTTCCCCATGAGACATCTGTCCCTCTTGGTGAAATCAGGTGTCATCTGTTGCCCCTGTCCTTTGCTTTCATTTATGCCTCCTCAAATATTTTTTTGGTTTCTTCTTGCAGCTTCCCAGTTGACTCATTACTTTTTACCAGGCTCCATCTCCTTTTGCTTATGCTTGTTTATCCTCCTTGGCAAGGGTGTTTCCTTCCCTCTGTGCCCGCATCTGTCCAGATGAGCTTTGTCACAGCCTGTGGGCACTCAGCATAGTGCCAACAGGTGCGGTGGTTTGGTGGCCGGTTCCCCAAAGCTGTGGGAGCAGGACAAGTGCTCACTCAAGTGCATCACCATGGAGGCATGTACAACCCTGAGGTGCTCCTGGAAAAGGAGGAGGTTCTGGGAATGGGAACCGCTTCTTGTATGAAGGGTTGAGCTCTGGCATGCTAACGGTATTACTCCCACTGTTATGTGGGAGAAGAGTCCTTCTCCCAGCTGGCAGTGCCATTTGGAAATTGGAATTCAAGTTTTGAAGCTTTCCAAAGTCAACAACTAGGTCCTGCCATAGCCTGTTGGCTGCAGAGCATGACCCCACTCACTGACCCTCAGTCACTGAGGGTGTACAAAGCCTCCTCATTACCATCTGTGATTGTCTCACTCTTTGGTGTAATGAGTTCTTTTCTGTTGCCTGAGACACTGGGAAAAGAGTGTTCCTGCTGAGCAATCTGCAATCGCTAGCTTTTCCTTGGTATTCATTTGCTTGCTTTTTATCTGTTACTTTTATAGAATCCTTCTTTCCTCTCCATTCTGATCTCCTTTCCCACCTTTGCACATTCATACAGAACAGCATGTAGGGCCAAGGATAGGGCTGGAAGTGGTGGGTAGGAGAGACCCACCACTGGGGGTGGAGAGTGGAGGAAAGTCAGATTTAAGTCGCATGTGGATCTGGGCCACTTTTCACTGTAAGAGGGCAGAATCTGCCATAAAATAGTAGTCAGGGGTCATGGTAATACCAGATCCTTGACCCGTCCCAGGAGCAATCAAATCTTGCTTTTTTCATAACATGGCAACTCAGTCCTTCATTATCTCACAGGCAAACAGGATGGGATCCCTTTGATTAAATGCAGACCTTGTCATCTGAGGAATGGCTCTTAGCTCCCTTTATAGGTTACAAAGAGTTGGACTTTGCAGTCAGTGGAGCCCAAGGCAAAATGCTCTCCTCCTGTGGCAGATGGCTGAAGTATGGCAGATGGATTAGGCCCTAGAAGTGTCTTTCTTTCCACTGACTATGGAAGGAGCATGAGGGGAAATACTGACATCTAAAGACAGGTGAGATGAACCCCATGTGTTGTGTCTGCTGTGGGCTGATAGTGCTATTATTAATATTAGCATGCAAGGCAGAGGCACTGAGAGTCTCTACCCTGCTGCTGCAATCCCACTTTGCAGGGGCTATGCAAGGAGGAGGTAAAAGATGCAGACAGTGCCTGCCACAGAAAGCTCACATCTCAGTTCTCACCCAGCAGTTATGCACTGTGGACTCTCAGGTCAGCAGTTTCTGTTTGTCACTCTATGCTGTTCAAGGCAAAGGTCTGCTAATATTTTGCAGCATGCTTAAAGATGAGGCTTGTACACCTCATCAGTAAAGCAGAGTTTGGGTGCAGGACCCTCTGAGATGTCCAGTTGTCTCCGCTCAGGCATATGGATTCTGCTTGTGGTAAGGGCAATCTAAGGAAGTTCATGCCCTAGTTATTTGATTTCCTGCCTCAAATGTGGATTTCTCCTGTTGCAGGAAGGAGGTGGCTATGTGAGTGTGTGTGAGTCCTGGAACAGGCTTAAAGGCAAGTGTACTGTCAGAAGGAGGTTGCCATTGCATGAAGTCCTGCCATGCCCTGATGAGGCTCTTTTGGGTCCATAGCTGCCTGATATCAGTACCTCATCGTTCCAGCTGCCACCACCAGGGCAGATGTGCCAGGAGATGGACAGGTTCTTGCAGTTGCATGCACATGTGAAAGCACCAGTCTCCTTTCAAGACCAGTCAGTCCTTGTCATGTGTAAACAGTCAGGTTTGTCAACCTGATGTCACTGAGAGGCAGAGTGGGAAGAGAAGGAGGAGGAGGAAGGCGTGCATAGAAAATCTGGAACTAGCTTGAAAGAGGATCACCACGAGTGCCTTTCTCACAGCCAGCCAAGGTGTGCTGTTGTGGGTGACATGAGAGAAATATCGACAGTAGGGCAGATGGTGGACTTGTCCTTGTCTTTACCGTAAAAAGTAAATAAGCGAGGACAGAGGAACATTTATGGTAGGATGCATGAATATGATCATCTGCGTGTGTCTCTCCTGACTCTAGGACATTTAGGTGCTATAGGGAAAGCAGCCATCATGGGCAAGAAGGAGGAATGATGGCCTAGGGAACATGGCTCTTGATGTGCCCATTGGCAATGCAGGCAGGTTTAGAAAATTTCAGACTTTAGAAAATTTCATCCTTAGCATGGGGACAATGATTGTTTGTTTAGGAATGACAGGTGGTCACAGTCCTGGCTTTCAATTTCTTTTAAGCTCTAAAATGAGTAACATACCAAGTGCTCAGCTTGTAATTGCACATTTCACAGTGGACTCAGCTCTGAATAATGCTGCAGGTACCCATGTCAGAGGTGCCATGGGACCATACAGACCTCTTCCCTTCTAAGCCTGTGTACAAAAGCCACTCGGAGGCCCCTCACCTGATTAGTTGGTGCTAATCATCCCCTGATTTTAATTAGTAAGAAAACAATTCACAGTTAGAAAATAATAGCAAAGGGTCTGCATGCACTACACTAATTAGCAAGCCAGGGTGTGGAAGCCAAGAGGAGAAACCTGGAGTGTTCTGAGATGGGCTGTATAGTGCCTATGCCTTTTGAGGTAGTCAGCCTCTGGCTCATTGTATGGTATCTCAATACGCATCTGAGATTTCATCCCTTAACGTTATTTAGAAATGATTTCAGGTTGCGGCTGTGGATATCAAGAACAAGATAGCTGTGTTCAAGGATGGATTTAAGATGGAGTATAACAAACTGCTGATAGCGACTGGAAACACGTAAGCTACAAACAAACATGTTAAAGATCCAGAGAAACTATTTTATCTTAGAAAATAAGGAGCTTGTGCCTAGGGATAAGGGATCAAACACAGCAACTGAATTTGGAGCAAGAACTTTTTGTTTGCAAGAATGTTAGCAGAAAAAGCAAGGAGCACAGGTGGATATGTCTGCACAGCTGTGCTGGATATATTTGTTCAGCCAAAGCTGAAAAACCTTTGTACTACCCAAGAGTCACCCAGAAAGGAGGTAACCAATAGACATGAGGGGCTAGCTCAGTTTGGGAGGACTAATGAAGGAATTGATACCCTCTGTATTTCATGATCAGTGCGAAGGTCAAAACAGTGTTAACAAACTTTACCTAGAACAGCTTACCTGGAACAGTTTGGTTTTGTGAGTTGTTTGATGCTAAAGAAATTGGTGGAAAAACGAAATTCCAAAAGGTAGAATAATTTGCCAGGAAGTACCCTAATGCTGTCTCCTTGTGGGCCAACTTGGGAATCCAGGGGGACACTGGGAAAATTCCCATTGAGATCTTCTTTTTAGAATGCAAAAAAAGTGATAGCTCTGTAATTTCATTGTCCTTGAAGCCTATTTAGAATATAGGGAGAGGAAAGATAATTGCCCAGAACCTTGAAAATATATATTTTAAACAAAAGCCTCCAAAATTAGATAGCCTGAATATTTTTAGTGGTCATTTTTGGCATATTGTTGTTATGTTCACCCCTCAATAATAAGCAACTGTGAAAGTCAAATAATACATCCATTTAAATCTCCATCTTTCATTTCTTGTCAGCCTTAAGTTCTTTCTTGAAAATGAAAGTTTAATGCTTCCCTGTTGCAGCCTTAATTTAGGTGTTGCTATTGATGCAACACAACAGAATCCTTTTTGTGAGATTTACTCACAAGAGTGAAGTTTTCAAAAAAACTAAAACCCGATTCAGAGACAAAAAATAGCAGAAGTTTTCCAGGCAACTGTATGCACATCTCTTGCACAGAGTGCACTTCATGGTGTTTTTTGAGAAAAATATAAATGGACAAGCGAAAGAATAAAAGCACTTTGGCCTCATGGCAATCTGTAGGGACAAGGTGCTGTGTGTGTCCTCTGGAAACTAAAAAAAAAAAACAACAACAAAATCCCAAATCCTCAGTAGTTCAAATTCAAATGAGTTGAACTAATTTAACCTTTCTCTGTCAGGAAATAGCTGCAAATCTTACAAAGAAAGCAGTAACAGTCTTTCAGATAAAACAGCTGAAGAACAGGATTCCTGTCTCTTAAGATGGAGTGATTTATCTATCCAGCTCTCTACAAGCTGCTGCTGCTGCTGCTGCTTCCTGGATGATAAGTACTTCCATTTCAGTTCAGCTTTTTGAGATTAGCATCATTCTTACTGTCCTGAAAATAGTTGGTTGGTTTGTTAGTTTCTTTTTAATAGGGGATTTGTCAAAATTGCCATTTTAATGGGAAAATGTTGGCATTCATGACAGCTCCTGATCTTTTTTAATGAAAATATTCCAAACAGTCAACTCTGAATATTACATTTGCATAGAAAATGTCAAATATTTTAGATATGACTGGGCATTTCTACAGCTGCCCTTTGAATGTTTTCACTATTTCAATTTTTGCCCTGTTTTGGAACAAATGCAAGTGTCTGAATCTCTCCCAGTTCCAGCTCTGAGCAGCTGTACTTTGGAGAAGGAGGCTGCTGAGATCAGATCCAGACCACAGATCTTGTTACCCGCCCCCAGTTTGCCTGCCTCTTTCCTTGTGCTCCTAAGACAAATGCACAAAATTATGTAGGCCGGATCCAGCCTCTGCAAAATTGATCGTCTGGGGAGGGGATCCTTAGAAACCAGCTAAGCAGGGAGCTGCAGCTCTAGCCAGGGTGGAAAAGCAGAAGAATGAAGCAGCGTTAAATATACCACAGTTCTCTTGCATGCTTCTCGTCACCAAGAAACAGCAACACAGCCCAAATAGTGTTATTAGAAACTCAGAGCTGTGAAGAGCAGAAGGGATGCTTCCATTCTCAGATCAGCCCCCCTGTTTCATTCAGATCAGGTAATGCACCCTGAGAGCGCTGTATCCAGCTTATAACTTCCTGGCAGAGCCACTGTGACAGTCATACTGGAGGACAGGCGCTCTCCAGCCCATGCCTGGGCACAACTGGGCAGGCACATGGACACTAAGACTGGGTTCTCTAGATTTTTATTGTTTTCCTGTAGATAGTTTCCCCAAGGTCATTATTACAAAGAGATGCAAATGACTGAGCAGTCCTTTTGAATGTTCTGTGCTGCTTCATTTTTGGAACTGATACCTGAATTAATTAGACAAAATGTGCAGAAGCTTGGGACTGCCTTGCAAGATGATTAGAGCAGATACTCGTTACACAACGCATCATCAACAGCAATAGCACCATCATATGTTCAAGGCTAGTGCCTGGGGATATGGAACGCTGCAGCAAAATGCTATCTATACCAGCTACGTAATAGGATTCAAAAGAGGACTAAACCTTTGGAAATACTCTCAAAATCCTTATGCACAAGCTCCAGAAACACTGGGTAAATGTTCTTAGGGTACCTAAATTATTTGAGGAGCTTTTTCAGATGTGAGTCAGGTATGGAGTGACCATATATTTAAAGATAGATAGGCACCAGTAAATGCATAGGGAAAACAAGATTAAAGTATTATAGTGAACATTAAAGCCAAGTGGATCTAGAAATGTACAGTGGAACCTGCATCTTCAGAGGCCTATATATATATCTCTCTTTGAAAATCTGGCTCCAAAACTTCTGCTGAAAGACAGAGAAAAAAGATCCTCGAAAGAGCCCAGCCTCCTGCTTAAGAATAGCAGCCAATCCCAAAGATGAGCACACCACCCTTTGGCCATGGCCACTGCGAACTGCTGGCTGTGGCCCATCAGAGGCAGTTGGTGAGGCAGCACCATGTGTGCTGCTGTGTAGGAACCATGTGCAGAGCTTGCAGCAGCGGCTGACTCAAAGAAGGAGTTTGGGTAAGGGAAACAGAAACTGAACCTATGTTTCCTTCAATTTGTGTTTTTCAGGCTGAAGGCTCTCAGCTGTAAAGGCAAAGAAGTGGAAAATGTGTTTAACATCCGAACTCCTGAAGATGCTAACCGTGTAGTGAAACTCGCCACTAGCAAGAACGTAGTTATAGTGGGAGCCTCATTCCTTGGTGAGCTTTCATTCTGGCTTGGTTCTGCCTGCATCCCAGACAGGTCCTTCAAGCATGGCTGTCTTTTCAGACTTGTCAGGATAGTTTTCTTTATCGTTCCATGGTTAGCATAGTTTGAAACTTTACCTAAGGATGCAGCAGGTCCCCCTCCCTCTAACTCCGACTGGGTAGAAATCACCTTGGCCTATTGTAGCAATTGTACAAGCAATTGTAGCCAAGGTAGGCATGTAGCCTGAGCTAGTCAGCTGGGCTTTGTCCTCTCCAACAAGGGATCAGTGACTCCAGAGGGTGGCTCATCCCCCTGCCCTAGAAACCTCACCAGCTCATGTGAATGACACAGCAGAGGCTATTGGCTCATGAGGGAGTCTATGTGTTTAGCTCAGATCAGACACTTCAGACAGATACAGTCATGGGAAGTGAATTCTGCTTCAAACATATCTCCACAAGATCTACCCAAGCTCAAACAGAAATTATGGGAATCTGTCTTTCAGTTCCCTGCAGCATTCAAGGGGCCAGAGCAGACTGCAACAATTGGTGTGGAATATAAAATTTGTTCATCATGTCTTGCCCTGTGACCTGATCTTGAGTTTGATCAGAGTAATCAGCTGTAGGTCATTCTAATGCACTGCAAGGTCACAAATCCAAGGAATATTTGTGATTCTCTTTCTTTTGATGATACAATATGATTTCCTTTAAATGGAAAAGTATCAGTAGTATTTTATCCTGTCTGGTTGTGTACTAGCTTCTGAATATCAATGATTCTTAATCATGGTGAAAGAAGACGGATTTCAGGAGTAGCAACCACATACTGCACCATAGCTTCAGACATAGTTGTTATAATCAAAGGTACGCTGAAAAAGGAACAGACCTAATATTACTTCTACCTAAGGCACTAGTAAAATCACCTCTGATATCTTAGTCTCCTTCTAGCATCTACTCCTCTAAAAAGATTTTAAAATTAAGAAATGATCAGAAAAATGTCAAGAGAAACAATTACAGTGATATTACGTTGTCCGTTGTAGTGGGAGTGAAGGACCACAGAGTGGGCATTGGAGATATCTGCGATAATGATTCATTTTGGCATGTCTTCATGTCACATACTTGACATATGCAGTTTATCTGAGTGACGTTTAAAAGATTATTCAAGTATTCTCTCTCTTCTGATCTTAGCTGTGTGTAGCGTAGATGTCCCCAGATGCAGTTACGCTGGGTCATTTTCTGGTCATTGAGGGGAAATGGGCACTTCTGGGGCGTAGATTAGACACAAACTGATGATAATCTGATCTGTGCTCCCAAAGCATCTCCTGTTGGGATGCTTGTGTTTGCTCAGATGCATCTCACCCCTAGTATGTGGAAAGTGGGCAGAGTTCTTCTGGATGTGACAAAGTTGCTGGAATATGAGCCTAGACAATTTAAATCCTCATTTTTATCGCTCCTGTGGTCTTCCATTCTGAGGCAAATTTTCCAGATTTCCACATATTCTTGCAAATTTTCCCAGAGCCACTCCCAATTTGACATTACTCTGTTTGAAGCTGGCACCTCAAAACCGGACACAGTGTCCAGCAAGGTCTTTCTAATGCTGTCTGCACTGTAAATCTCGTTGTATTGCTCCTATACCATTTTCTCCTTTTGGAACACCTTGAGATTAAGCTATGCAGAGTAGAGCAGAGCAGAGCACAAGGACCTCACGTTCTGTTGGTTTCTACAGCATTCCCATGTTCTCTTCTGAGCTGTTGCTATCCAGAGTATGGTCTTCAGCCACCTTGTATGTGTGAACTGCACTGCCCTTGCCAATGGAAACCATATTCTCTGAATGATAAGAACCATAGGATAGTTCTAGTTGAAAGGGACCTCAAGAGGTCATCTAGCCCAACCTCCTGCTCCAAGCAGGTTCATAAGGACATATCCTTTCTGAAAAAAAGGTAATTTTACTTACGCTAAGAGAATGGACAGTTTAGCCTACTGGCCTGTGGGAAACATAATCAAAGAGCATTGCTATCCCATTCTGAAGAGCATATGGTGAGTCCATTCCTGTCCATTGAGCGGTTTCAAAATGAGTCCATAAGTATAGATTTGGGTTAAATCAGGAAATTCTTGTTGGTAGGTGAGAGCCTGTGGTTTTATTTCTCTGCTATTTGTTATCAGACTTGTGAAATTTTTTTTATACCTGTCAAAAATCTAGCAGTTGCTTTGGTGTTTCTTCTTTTTGCTTGGTTATGTGTATAACAAAATTGTGGGTCCTGCCAGTCTATAGGCATAAATGACTATTAGTCAGAGAATTTATTCTAAAATGTTCAGGATTTGTTTCTCATTTTTTTCAGTTTCATATTTTAAAAGAACAATCTGCAAACAGAAGAAACACTTGATTTTGGAGATCAGTTAAGAACTGCTGATAGACAAAAAGAATAGTTTCCAAAAAGCCCATGGATAAATGTGTTGGTGAAGGTTTCCATGTAGTTACCAGCACCAGATTGGGCAATCTAAATTGCCAAGGGCTATTTTCAGCCAGTAACACATTACCTGTGTTAAGAAAGTAAGTACCGTCTCAGCCATTAGAGGTATGTTTCTCTCTCCCACAGCTGAGTTCTTTTATTACAAATGCTACAGTTTTCTAAGGCACTTTGAGAATTCATTTTGACAGGTTCCTTGCTTCAGTCTTTAGGCCTTTCTGTGGCTCCTGTCTCTAAGAACAGATCACCATAAATCTCAAATAAAAAGGTGTGGCTCTCTGTGACCATGAGTTTGGTTTCTCTTCACTCTAGTTACACCCTAGATGTCCAAACAGAGCACCTCCAGCTTCCCAGGTTGAGAGGGGACAAAGGGATGTTCTCCTGTTACTGGCTGTGGCACTCACCAGATCTGCAGTCCCTGGGGCGGTGCTGGGAGAGGCATGTGGCCACTCAGACATACTTCTGTTTCCCAGGGATGGAGGTGGCTGCCTATCTCACAGAGAGGGCCCATTCTGTGTCTGTGGTTGAGCTGGAGGAAGTGCCCTTCAAGAAGTTCTTTGGGGAGAGGGTTGGCCGTGCTGTCATGAAGGTAACTTTGCTTTCCTATTCCAGGGATTGTTTTGGTGACAGATAAGAGGCTGTGTGGTTTTTGCATGAGTTGATTTATTAACAAAGCTGTGAAGGTGCTCCACAATAATTGTCACTAGAAAGAAAGGATGGGCTGTGTCTTCCCTCTCGTGGCCTGCTTGCTGTAAATAACATTCCTCTTTCTGTGTGTGGGACAGAGATGCTTGAAAACCTGTTTCCAATGTGTGTTGAAATGAACCTGAAGGGTGGGAGTGGCCATTGCGGAGGTCAGGGGGCAGGTCAGAGACACCAAGTCAGGTGGTTTTGGTCTGTGATGTCCTCTCCTCTATCCCCTCACCCAGATGTTCGAGAACAACAGGGTGAAGTTCTACATGCAGACGGAAGTGTCAGAGCTGCGGGAGCAGGAGGGCAAGGTATGGCACCAGCACCAGGGCAGAGCTCGTGACTGGTCCCCATAACCTGTTGGTGGAAGCACAGAGGCAGCCACAGCCCAGCCTAGAACATGCCCTGCTATGCAACAGCCTGTGCAGTGAGCTGGTTGTAAAGATCAGTCCTCTCTGGTGAAGAGGGTGAAGCAGAGGCTTTCTGCTCTTAGTGAGCCTGCAGTAGGAGCGGTCAAGAGATGGCACAGGTGGCTGCATCAGCCAGAGGCCCACACTGGCTAATCCCAATGTGCCTTTGGCCAGTCAGCGTGCCTGCCATGCCGCAGCAGTGGGGCAGGAGGGTGCAGCAATGCTGGGATTCATTCCTTTCTTTCTTTTTTTTTTTTTGCCTCGTCTCTCTTCTAGTCTTTGAAATTCATATCCCTGTGTTTAGCCCCATGGAGGAAACATGTTCCAGCCACTGTGTTTGGGACTGGTTTCATTGCTTTGAGGAACTTTCAGTTCAGCAGTCAGGAGTTAAGCTGGAGGAGCAGAGAGAGCATGGAGGATAGCTACAGAGCTGGGGAGAGGGGGACAGCAGCACACAGGTCATGTTTTAACAATGTCCCTAGAAAATGCCTGCAGGACCACCTAGGAGAGTTCTGAAATTCCTGCTATTGACGTTACAGGAAATTATGATCTTTTGGTCTTCTTTGACTTGTATGTCAAAAATGAAGGAAGAATCCAGCTTGGCTGGCTGCTGCTAAGGGTTTTTCTTTTTTTTTTTGTCCCTAAAATACCTGTAATTTTCGCCTCTCTCCCATAAAGCTGAAGGAGGTTGTACTGAAGAGTGGGAAGGTTCTGCGTGCAGACGTGTGTGTCGTTGGTATAGGTAAGGGGACCTCACCACAGGGTGCTGAGCCAATCAGACTAGTGGTGCGGTTGGGCTGGGGGGAAATGGGACACTAATTACCAGCTAGGGCAGGACTACTGATGGCTGCTTTACTTTGCCTCCAAACCTAGTAGTAAAAAAAAAGAAAAAAAAAATTGGCAGAGACTTGGCAGTAATGGTTCATCCCTCTAGGATGAACGAATCTATCCCTAATCAGCTGCTGGGCTGATGGGCTCTACTAGGTGCCCCCAGAGAGCAGCACTGCCTGCGTGCCCCAGCTGCCCAGCTTGCATGTGCCTTTTGGGAGCCTGGCTGGAGTGGCACAGCATGTGCTAGTGTCTGCCCAAGTTCTGGCTGTGCTCTCCTTCCAATTGGCAGGATCACTTCCTTAGATCCAGAGCAGCAATTGTGAAAAGAGCAGACCTTTGCATTTTGCTTTCCAAAGCAGGATCATACTGGCAGAAGAGAGATCTTTGTGGGCTTAGAGGCAGCTCCTTGTCCTGCTATAATCCAGTCTGATAAAGACCACAGTGCTGGCATTCGGAGCTATCATGTACACCATCCCCTTTGTGTTTTCCTGCAGGTGCAGTCCCTGCGACAGGGTTTCTCAAGCAGAGTGGCATCAACATTGACTCCAAAGGCTTTGTCATTGTCAACAAGGTGAGCTTGGTGGTTTGTCTAGAGCTGCAGGCAGCCTCCCTCTGGGGCCAGATGTTGGCCAGAATGAGGACATTCAGGAGGAATTTCACAGCTAAAGCTGTCAAAGATGCTCTTTAGAGCTAAACTTTCATTGTGTCTAAACTACTGAAGCATGGGCAGTTCATCTTCAGAGATGCTAAGACACAAGGAGCGCAAAGTAGGAATGTATGGGCCAGCCCTCTGTCCTCCAAGTGATGGATTTTCAAAGCAATGGAGCCCTAACGCTGTTCTCAGCCCCTTTGGCAGATCACTGGATGCTGAGATTTGAGCTCCTGCTCTAAGCAGTCCTAGAATGACTTGAAAAGTTGTGTATATAGTTCTGTGGGAAAGAAATAGAGATGGAGCCTCTCCAGCACCAAATCCTGTAGTCCACAGCAGGGATCCCCAAAATCTTTGCCAGCAACTACTCTGCTGCAATGAATGCCAATGAGGAATGCTATTGGCAGTAGTGGTTTTTGGCTCAGGTCACACAAGCACTAACAGGTGGTATGCCATAAGTGAGGAATGTATCAGAACCGGGTTACCCCTGGTGCAAGGAGCTCATTGCCACCAGTTCCTATGTTAGGGCTGTTTGGCAGTTTGGACTCATGCATACAATAAGCTAAGTGGAAGCAATGCTTTCTCTGTAAACACCATCAGGACCCTAATCTTCTAATTAAGGGGAAGGATCCAGGATATCAGTGTGTGTCTCCCTTTATGAGGTAAGCTACTGGCAAATGGAGTGCTGTAGACCCTAATGTGGTAATCTACTTTGAAAGTGAGGAATCCTAAATCATATCATTCCCACTTTACGTCTGCTGAGAAGCGCCCACACTATTTTTTAACTCAGTTTTAACTAATCCCTTTTCAATTCACAGATCACCCACAGTTCAGGCATTTGGGTAACATTCATGTGTGTCCCTGTCCAGATGCTGTAAGAGCAGATACTATGGTTTAGTGCGTGATTTTCTTTTGCTCTCAGAGAGCTGCTCATTAGGCCATCACAGTAGTTCTTCTGTGGTGAACTTACACTGACATGCTCTGAGATAGACATGTTACCTTCACATACGTCCACTACACATGAGGTGGGGTATATAAGAAGAAGTTATATAGAACTTTATTGCGTATACCATGGGATAAGAGCATGCCCAGGGGCTCCTGCACCTGAGTAGCAGCTTATCCATTTGCATGTGCCAGCTGTCTGTGGGGAAGTTGTTAGGTCTAGGGCAGTCAAACCGTACACTGTTGTTGTAGAGCTCAGTGCAGCATGAACCCCACCAATGTACACTTGTGCTTCCCTCCTTCAGATGATGCAAACCAACATCCCAGGAGTCTTCGCAGCAGGTGATGCTGTTACATTCCCGTTGGCCCTTCGGAATAATAAGAAAGTGAATGTCCCTCACTGGCAGATGGCCCATATGCATGGTACGTGCTTTTCTGTCCCTTCAATTTACAGCAGCAAATTGCTTAGGAGCAAGAGCCTTTTCCACAGCCTCAGGAAATTAGAAGCCTCTTTAACAAGAGAATGAGACAGTTGAGAAAAGAGAAACTGGGGACTTGTACAAAACATTTTGAAACATATATTTTATCCTGTCCATTATCCCTTCACTTGTCAGACTTCTTGATGTGCAAAGCCTTTGCAAATTGACTAAAGATCACAGAATCACAGAATGGTTGAGGTTGGAAGGTTGAGGTTGGGACCTCTGGAGATCATCCAGTCCAACCCCCCTGCTCAAGCAGGGTCCTCTAGAGCACTTTGCCCAGGATCGCGTCCAGGCGGGTTTTGAATAACTCCAGGGAAGGAGACTCCACAACCTCTCTGGGCAGCCTCTTCCAGTGCTCCGTCACCCTCACAGGAAAGAAGTTTTTCCTCGTGTTCAGAATGGATCTTCCTGTGTTTCAGTTTGTGCCCGTTGTCCTGTCACCGAGCACCACGGAGAAGAGTCTGGCCCCATCCTCTTGACATTCCCCCTTTAGATATTTGTATACATTGATGAGATCCCCTCTCAGTCTTCTCTTCTCCAGGCTGAAACAGGCCCAGCTCTGTCAGCCTGTCTTCAGAGGAGAGGTGCTCCAGTCCCCTCATCATCTTCCCAGGCCTCCGCTGGACTCTCTCCAGGAGTGCCGTGCCTCTCTTGTACTGGGGAGCAGCCCAGAATTGGACGCAGTACTCCGGGTGAGGCCTCCCCAGGGCTGAGGAGAGGGGCAGGATCACCTCCCTCCACCTGCTGGCAACACTCTGCCTGATGCAACCCGGGATACCATTGGCCTTCTTGGCCACAAGGGCACACTGCTGCCTCATGCTCATCTTGTTGTCCACCACGACTCCCAGGTCCTTCTCTGCAGAGCTACTTTCCAGCAGGTCA